GCTGGACCTTAAGCCAGGGGAGAAGCCTAGCTTTAGGGGCGATCTTGGAGCTGAAGTCTTGGGAGAAGTTTGTTTTCTGGGGCAAACAAGGATAGATCTTGGAGCTCCTACGCATTTTGGCAAACTGCTTGGTCTTGGAGCTGATATTGATATGAGGGGAGAAGTTCAGTTTTCTGGGCAAAATAAGCACATGAGATCCAATCTCACGCACCAACACCTTGAGCGTTGGTAACCTCGGGGGATAGGCATGCACTGCGCCTCAAGCAGCTCTCTCGGCCGCCCGGTGTCTTCCAACTCGTGCGGGCGGCGGTAAGATAGGCCAGGGAGATCTGCCGATTGGGACAACACAACAACAGATGTGTGTGTGAGATTAGAGAGAGCAAAGAGAGTGAGAGACCAAACGAGGCCAGGTTGCGCGAAGCGACCAAAAAAACACGGTCGCCGCCACCTGCTCGATCCGCCCGGAAGAAAATTAGAGAGGGTGCACATGAAGCGCACCCACGGAACGTTGAACTTTGCCTCAAACCCACCAAACAAACTAAACACAGTCCAGCGAAATCACCAAACCACCCAGCTGTCAAGACAAATGCCAACCTGGAAAATGGGCTTGCTGGTGATCAGCCTCGGTCACAGGAGCCAGCCAAAAGTAAACATTCTGACACATGGGCATACCTGAACTGAAATCCAAGCGTGTTCCACGTATGGTGAGAATTTGACGAACGAAAGACAACAACAATGACACCCTCACACCGCATGACTGAGGAGAACGTCGGGGTGCTCTCTCACCAAAATCCCTCTTGCTCCCCCCCCCGCCTGCCCTCGCTGAACGTGAGGCTGGGCCCGCCGTCTCGGCCGAGCTGCTGCCGCGATACCTGCAGTCGGTCCTCGCACCCATTAATCGCCGCACCGGCGTCGGCTGTTGCAGTGTAAGAAAAAACGACAAGGATACCGTATATGACACAAGATAACACACCCCAGTGATAACATTTTGGAGTTTGAAAATATTATCACCGGGTGTGGTATCCTGCGGGGGGTGTGTTATCTTGTGTACCCCGGGTGATAAAGTGCAGCCCGCAGGGGCCCCTAAGGGCGTGTGATAGCACGTCCCAACAGCCACAGCGTGTGCTTTGGGGTGTGATAAATGAGGGGTGTGATAGCACGTCCGAACAGCCACAGCGTGTGCTTTGGGGTGTGATAAATAAGGGGGTGTGATAGCCATGCCTGCACGTACACGTGCAGTGTAGGGACCTACCTAAAGGGGCGTGGAAAAACAACCGAGATGACGAAACTCCTGAGCACATGACCTCGGCGATAACTCAACCCTCTCATCGCCAAAAAAGTTTGAAACATAATACGGGCTTGAGTCGAGCAAGAAGAAATAAAAAATCGAAGGTACCTCGACCGATACGATGATTGGCGGTGGCCACAGACTGCGTGAGCCATCCTTCCTGCCCCCCTCACAAAAACGTTTGCTGCTGCTTGCCTTGCTTTGGGTACGACGAAAAGAGAGCTACGCAAAGACACCACGAACAAGAATCAACGACCATAAACCGCAATTCTACACTGAATACGAGACACATCAACGTTGCATTCCACGCGGCGAAGAAAACAGCCGACAGCTTCTTCACACCCACTCAAAGACGACGGAAGGAACAGAAAGGTACGCCAGGAAAAACCCGAGGAAACATGAGAAGGACACCACAAGTCATTTTCTCAACACCAGCATTGCTGCCGATGATCACAGCCCCTCGCCCTCGTCGCTGCTCACGTCCACCACCACCACGCCCGTGTCGTCACCATCGTCGATGTCCAACACCTCCAGCAAGTTCTCGCCTCCGGACGACGAGTCAGCCTTGTCCGCAGCGTCCGATGGCACGCCGATGGGCTCCCCCTTGGCGTTGGTGCGGAGCTCCATGTTGGCCCAGGCCTCGTCTTCCGACCCGTCGACGGGCAGCAGAAGGCCAGCCTTCCTCCAGCTCGAGCGGATTCATCCGCGGTCAAGGCATCCCACGCCTTCTTGACCCACTGTGCGACCAAACCCCGCGAAGTGGGCTCCGGGTAGCCCCGGTCATTGCGCGTGACGTCCTTGGAAGCCATGTGGTCGTCGTAGAGCCTGGACATGTTTGCCTTGAAGAGCTTGTTGACCAGGCCATCGCACGGCTGGAGCTTTGGAGTCAGGCCTCCCGGGATGTGGAACAGCGTCGTGTTGGACTCCTCCATCGCCTTGGTAGACGCATTCGTCTTGTGGACGGTGTAGTCGTCCCACGCCAGAAGCGTGTCAGGCTGACGGGAGCCGCCGAGGCGGCCCTGCCGCCCCGGCCGCCGGTTCCACACCTGCGGCACCCACACGTCGTCGAGCACCCGCTGGGAGTGCCATCCCTTGGGGTCCACGGCGTAGGCCATACCTCGCGGGTACGCGTAGCCCTTCCTGTGCTTGTAGTTCTTGAACTCGCGCTCGATGCTGTTGGCGGCGGGGGACTTTCCCTTCGGAGTGGGCTGGCCCATGAAGATGAGGAGGGGAGGCAGCTTGCTGCCGTCGGCGAACACGGTCAGGACCGAAGTGATGCGCGTCTTCTCCTTGCCGCCGGTTTTGATTGCAATCTCCTTCTCGCCCGTGGCCTGCGGGATTTCGTAGAACAGCGAAAACCGACATCAACGTGGGGTGCGTGGAAACGACTTTTGTTGTCAAGATTCGGAAAGTGGCAGCAATGGTTGCAATAAAAACATGACCAAAATCAGAGAAAAGGAAAAGAAAGAAAAGACGCAAACTACCTACATATAGATAGTTCCTCACAAAAAAAAAGGGTGGCCTAAAAGAAGCGTTCACAGAGGAAAGGACAGGATTGCTACATTTAACCCAGTACGAGCAACAACTAGAGCAAAACTAATGCTCACGTTCACAGTGTCCTTCCCCGGGCTCTCGAACCACGTAGGGGTTTCGTCCACATTGCCGATCTGCGCCAAGGCGAACTTGAGACGCGGAGGAACACTAGCGCCACTCCCGCCTCCGCTGCCGCTCGCGCCGCCTCCCGCCCATGCCGCAACCCCCAGGCACTCGACTCCGTCCGCAAGTTAGAGCGCGGAAGGCACGTCATACTTCAGCCTCCTCCACTCCTCGATCGCCTGCATGGCGACCAAAGGCCAGCCAGAAGGAAGCTTCTGGCCTTGCCGGGTGACAGCTCGCACAGAGAAGCGGTAGACCATGAGAAACCTTCTGCGCCACTGGTTCTGCCTGTTCTTGTACTTGAGGGAGCCCTGGAGATCGGATGGCGCCGGCCTCTCCCCGAAGAAGTTTGGATTGAGTTCGACGGCCTTGTTCTTGATCATCTTCGTCGAAACACGGGCGGAGATGCCTTCAGAACGCAGCTCGTTGACCCAGTCCACGACCTCACGCTCGGCCGCCGTGTGCGTCCTGATCCGTCCGACGTTTAGCGACAAGCGGTTGTTGGGTTTCTTCTCGCTCCTCCCTTGTACGTGTCCGCTTCCGCCAGCGCGGCTTCGTACTTGGCGACGTTATTGACCACGCCGCCAACGTCGCCTTGTCTGGAATCTTCAGGATCCTGGACGCGTAGGTTATCCCAACAGTCCCGTTCGGCCCTTGCGCCCCCTTGATCTTCCTCTGTGAGTACCTTACCGCATCCACCTTAAACTTCAGAGGGTAGCGCTTCCTTTGGCTTCCACCACCAAGCTCGGGGATCGGGAAGTTCGGCGGCTCCAACTCCAGCTGCCCTTTCTTCCTCTTGCCCTTGTTCTGTGCCGGCGTACCTCCGCCGAACCCATCTCCCCACTTTGTCTCTCCGGGAAACATCATGTCGCCGGATGCAGCATCGTTGGCCACCGGCGCTCCTCCCGCTGTCGGCGTTGTTGCTGCCGGTGCTAGAGCTGGCGCCGATGCTGAAGCTGGCGCCGGTGCTGGAGCTGGCGCCGATGCTGGAGCTGGCGCCGATGCTGAAGCTGGCACCGGTGCTGGAGCTGGCGCCGGTGCTGCTCCTGATGGAGGCGCTCCGGGTTGCCGCCCACCCTACATAAGACAAAGGGAGACAAATAGTGTGTCGTGCGGGCGGAAACCAAAGCTGTTTCTTCAGAAAGAGTATGCTGATTCATTTTTGGTCGACAAGGGCACCGTGTCCAATATTCCAAAAAAGTTTGGCGGTTGAAAGTACACTTTAGGGTGAACAAAAAATGTGCAATGCAGCACCATTGAAAATTAATCAGGGTGGTATGGAGATGCCAGCTGCAAACAAAGCTGCGGCATTTCCACACACACAACGGCATGCAGGAACAAGAATCATACACAAAAAACAACTTAAAATGTGAACAATACCGACGAATGGCCATAAAAATACTACAAACGAAACAATTACGAAATGGGCACGCAACGACAGAACCATTTTCCGGGAGCGTGTGGAAAAAAAAGCCACATGCACACAAAACAACGTACACAACGTGTACCAGAACGTGTGGTTAAAAAAGGGCCTGCACACAAAATAACTCTCAAAATGTGTATGGGAACGTGTGGCGCAAAAAAAAATGAAAAAAAAATCACGAACCCTGGAGTGTGCGGGTGGTGCAAAAGCCAACCCACAATTGCACGTTTCGAGACCACACGCGGACTGATACTACGCCAAATCCACGAAGCACATGTCCACTCACTTGGATCGTTGTTCCGTGCCGACGGAAGGGCTGGGCCCCTGGTCCACCATGTCCACCACCAGCTGAGATGCTTGGCTGGTGCGCGTTGACTCGTCTGCTGCGGTGCTCGCACGTGCTGCTGAGAGCAAGAGAGCAACTGGCTGCTGTTGAGGCGATGCGGGGGCTGTCATGTTGGCGCCTGTTGCAGCTCCAGCTCCTGCTGCCTTTAGATCAGCAGGAGCAGGAGTAGGAGCCTCTTGCGTAGAAGAGGTGTGGGCGGGCCCAAAGAAGGAGGTGATCTGCTGTGGCGCCTGCGCTGCTGTAGTCCAAGCAGTTGTCGAAGGAGCGGAGGTACTTGCGGCTGCATTCTGCTCTGCCTGCACGTTCATGTTGGGGGTCTTCATGCGGGGTGTTTCCCTGCACACAGCTGACGTGGTTGTGTGTGTGATTGCCCAGGGCAGATGCTGTCACCCCGGTGATAAGAAGGAGGGGCCCCGTGACTATATGCGGCGTAACTAAAAATATCACCGGGGTGTGTTATCTTGTGTATCCCCGGTGATAAATTGATGGTTTGTCAGAAGCGCCCAAAACTACCACCGGGGTGTCGTATTCTGTGGGGGGTGTGCTTTCTTATGTAGGTGTGTTATCTTGTGTCATATACGGTATGCAAAGAAGGTTGATCAGAGGAACGCACACAGGCACGCGTACCTCGACGCTTCTCGACAAGGCGGACTGGGCGGTCTTGACCTCTTTGTTGTCAAGCGCTGTGGGTGTTTGGCCTTCGGGGGTACGTGCACGTACATAAACATTTCTCGTCTTGAACGCAACCTGTAGCAACGGCGATGTGCACATTCCTAGGCATGGTAACCGAGGTCGACAGCAGTGTGTGTGTGTGTTTTCGTCCTAATTATTATGGCGACAGTCCTCCCATTTTTTGTGGTAAGACGTTTATTAATACTACACTTTTCAGCGTATGTAGAGTACCACACTTTTCACTGTATTTTTTCGTACAACTACAACCATCCAGGGTCACACAGGAGGGGGTAAACACCAGGGCTTTTTTCTTCGTTTTATGTTATTTTCATGCCCCACCTTCCTCCTGCGGTGCGTGCTGAATTTTACTTTTATCGCAAGGGGGTCCAGCCGTCCCTTTCCCTCGTCAACGGTGCAAACGTCGAAGTTTGGTACTCACGAGAGCTTTTTCACCTATTTTTCGCTTTCACCCTCACATTTCGTAAATTTTTCAACCCACGGGGATTCGAACTCACGGCCTCTGCGACTAGCGGATTACGAGGAAACCACTAGACCACCGGGGCGACCGGTTCCACAGTACGGGTCACGCAGGGTGGGGGGTGTCATCTTTCGTGACTCCTACAGGTTTTGGGTCAATGCATGTGCATGTACATGTCTCGGCGTGAAAGTAACCTGTAGCAACCCTCCCTACACCTGCACATATCTAGGGATGGTCTATGCTTTCAATTTGAGGCCCCCGCCAATGCAAACAAGCAAGCGTGGACTCGTGGTTTGGCACGCGAAGAAGGGTACAATACTTTTGGGGCAGGGTCCCGCGGTAAAGTCGGCGCTTCGATGCACATACATGTGCATTTCTCGGGGTGGATATGGCGCACCGGAGCAGTGGCTTGCGCCACGCTACACATACGGTATCCTTGTACCTCAAATTCGCGGACCCGATCAATGCAAATAACCAAGCGTGGGCTGCTAGCCGTGCTCATCACCATTGGCTACCTCTGGTTGGAAGCACCCTCCCGAAGAAGGGTATTTTGGGGGTCAAAAAGATATGGTGCAGCTCCGATATCTTCTGCAATGCAGAGGATCAAAGATATTCCATTGTATCTGAACTTGGTACAGGTGTTCCCAGGAACTTCACAAAAAATGGGAATGTCTTTTTTTATGTCTACCGTTACGGAGGCGAAAATACTTCGTGAGTTGGTGTCAAACGCTACTGCTGTAAACCAGCTCCACATGACACTTGTTCGATTTTTGAAGCTGCCTGTCTGAACCTTGTCACGAAAACGAGGGAGACTGCTCGTACACTACCCTGCAACATCACTGTAGCAAAAGTAGTGCTCACACCTCATTTCCCTCATTTCCCTGAACCCTTGAAGAGCGCAAGTCTGAGAGGGGGGTGGTAATCATCTTAACATCTGAGGCGCCCGAGAGATACGGAGTGGATATGTTTTTTATCGAACACGAGGAAGGCACGGGCGTTCTCATACTCGTGAGTTCATTACTGACGTCGGCAGGACATATTACAGCACACGTGTCCACGAATGCTATGATTTTTCGTTGACGCCCGCCGCTACACGTGCACGAAACGAGTTGTCCTGCCGATCTCCATTATAACCAGATATTCAAGGGTCCATTTAGTATAGTACGTACTTTTAGTACTTTCCAGTATTTTAGTAAGTATTTTGCTCACGGTACTGTACTGGGGGTTTAGTACGTACCTCCATCCTGTACTGTACTTACTATTGCGTTTAGTACAGCTCTTCATACGTACTATACGTACTATTGCGTTTAGTACAGCTCTTCATACTGTACTATACGTACTATTGCGGTTAGCACAGGTCTCAATACTTACTCTCGCCCCAGTACAGTATTTCACCAAAATACTATACGTACTATTGCGTTTAGTACAGCTCTTCATACTGTACTACACGTACTATTGCGTTTAGTACAGCTCTTCATACCGTACTATACGTACTATTGCGTTTAGTACAGGTCTCAATACTGTACTATACGTACTATTGCGTATAGTACAGGTCTCAATACTGTACTATAGTACTATTGCGTTTAGTACAGGTCTCAATACTGTACTAAACGAATATTACGCGTACTGGTTCTCCCCGACTTCCACCAAAGGGCGTGTTGGTGACGTCATCCCTAGGAAAGCCGCACAGTCTCGCCAGACAGGTCTCCTGTCTCCTCCCGCCGCGAGCTGCCAGAGCTCCAGTACCAAGTACTGGCGTACTGGTGTGCTGGGGGTACGAAGGTAGCGGCTGGCAGGGGAGGTGGCAGCCATGAGTGACGCAAGTGGTGGTTCGAACGTATCTCCCGATGCACCTGCTCCCGCGCCGGGTTCCTCACCCACACCGGGTTCTTCACAACAAGAGGCGCAAGAAGACGTGGTGGTGGTGGCGGGCTCTACGAGTGGAGGAGATTCGCAGCAGTCCGTGATCCCCCGGAAGCAGCAACAAGTCGAAATTTAAATTTAGTTTTAGTTTTAGTTTTTTGCTTTTGATTTTCGACCGCTGGCTTTTGCTCTTCGATCTTGCATTTCGGTATTGAAATAGCAGCTGAAATAAGTGATTGCTACGACGGAGGCACGGGGCGAGGGAGCATCAGGGGGGATTCCAAGCAGCGTGTACAATTCAACTGAGAGTGCTGCTGCAGGTGCTTGACGCATATGCATGGATATGGATGCTGCAGCGTTCGAAGTATGAAGCCAGTACGTTTAGTACAGCTCTTCATACGTACTATACGTACTATTGCGTTTAGTACAGCTCTTCATACTGTACTATACGTACTATTGCGTTTAGTACAGCTCTCAATACTGTACTATACGTACTATTGCGTTTAGTACAGCTCTTCATACTGCTGTACTTTACGTACTATTGCGTTTACCACAGGTCTCAATACTTACTCTCGCCCCAGTACAGTATTTCACCAAAATACTATACGTACTATTGCGTTTAGTACAGCTCTTCATACTGTACTATACGTACTATTGCGGTTAGTACAGGTCTCAATACTGTACTATACGTACTATTGCGTTTAGTACAGCTCTCAATACTGTACTACACGTACTATTGCGTTTAGTACAGCTCTCAATACTGTACTATAGTACTATTGCGTTTAGTACAGCTCTCAATACTTCTCAATACTATACTCGACCCAGTACAGCATTCAATCATCCATACTTGCCCACACCGGTCGACGCTCGACATGCTGTTCGCGATCCAGCGGCTCCATGAGCTCGCGAGGAAGAAGAGTACTGCGGTCTTCGCGTGCTTCGTCGATCTCACCAAGGCGTACGATTCGGTGGACCGAGATCTGCTGTGGGACGTGCTCGGACGCTTTGGCGTGCCCCCGAAGATGCTGGCGGTCATTCGCCACTTCCACGAGGGCATGAGGGCGCGGGTTCGAACGGACGACGGGCAGTACTCGGAATGGTTTGACGTCGGCC